AAAAAATGGAAAATTAAAATGTAGTTCAAAAGCAGTCATCGCATTTTCCCAGCATAATAAAACTTACGTGAAAGCCCATCGTAGGCGTTCTTGTACTGAACCTTTGACAACCATTGACAATCCAAGCATAAAGTTGCCAAAGGTAATCGTTCCATTCTGCTCTTTATCCAAGGCAGAGAAAACGTAATGAGCATACTGACTTGAATCTGTAACAAAAATATTGAAACACATTCATAACTTATAACGATCTGAGGAAGACTTTGTACCGCGCATTTAAATAATAACAATAACAATAACAACTCCATCTAGGGGAGCACACGACATTGTAGTTGGTGGTGGGGCTTGAGTATTCCCGGGTGCCTGAGAGCTATGTCGGTGGTAACCTAGCTATTGATAGAGCTTCCCTTGATGAATAGGTCGAAAGACGTCAGCCGAAGAAGTACTTCAGAAGAGAGCCTCAACGGAATCTTTGAAAACCAAAAGGAGGATTGATGAATATAGCGAAAGAGGCACGTCGAACTAACCGCAGTGCCTGATCTGCAGCGGGCGGCTGCAAGCAGCGACTGCCTCTATGTTAGGGGCGGCTGCTTCCATAGCGGGGAGTAAGTAGAAAGGGAACGGTTATGAACCTTTGGACTTCATGAAGGGTACAGGAGAGAAACTGGGTTGGAACACCAAGCCTCTGATTGGAGTGCCGACCCAAACCTTGCATTAGCCAGCGAAGGAGGCTGCCTTCAGCAGTCAGTGAAAATCCCGTAAGGTTTAGTGATGGCGACTGGCAATCGGAGGGACCCTTGCTGGGCCCTGTGGGTGGATGTTCCGAGGTTACTGTGAGTTGCAGTAACGGATGACAGGAGTTAAATATGATCTGTGAACTTGAACTTGCTTCCTGCGAAACTTCACGTAAAACCAATAGCAAAGCGGATAGAACAAAAATGTAATGAATCTTAAAGTGCCTTGTTCTAATGTTCTAAGTGCCTTGTCCCATACCTGCTCAGAAATCGAGGAAATGTCAAATTGTCGATGTCTGGTCATCCCATGGATGTTAGTCCGTGGGACTCAGAGACGACAGAAGCTTGAAGCCATCGTCAGAGATGGACTCGGGATGATTTGAAGGAGGTGGTGTAGTACTCTTAGTACGCAAAAGAAAACCCACCATTTTGGACGTGTCCGGATACTTTTGATCGCATAGTGTAGGCGTAGCAAGACGCATCGCAAAGGTTACTATACAAGACTCGCAGACAACAGAGACAATGAACTTCTGATGCTACTTAGCATGAAATGTGAGACCCAAAAATGTTAAAGAAATTGTAGAGAGACAAACCACTCTGTGGACAATATGTAAAAAGAATGGACAAGGTTCAGATCAATAACGAGCATGTATGTGGCTTGAAAGGAGAAGAATGAAGCCAGAATGCAAGCAGTTGTAATAGCTGCCGATGAACATAACATGATAATAAAGCTGTTCTCAAAATTTTCCAAAATGTTATGTGCCATATTTGGCAGGAACAAGTAGAAAATATTAATCATATCATCTCAGCTTGTCCAAATCTAGCAAAAACCAAATACTTGAAAAGACAAGAAAGGGTGAGTAATCCACTAGCAGATCAGTAACGCCTTCGAAGTTGCAAACACATTTACCAAGCGGTACGAACACTCACCAAAAGCGGTGACGCCTGTTGGATTGTGTACATTATTGTATGGCCAATAAATTGAAACTGATTGCACAATAGCGGCAAACAAACCTGATATTGTTACCCAGGATTTGGAGAAAAAAAGTGTCCACTTGTATCTACAATGTATCTATCTATCTGTGGCTGTGTCGTGCGAACAAAACGTCGTAACCAAGGAGACAGAACAACGTCTTAAATACAAGAGTTTGGAAATCGAGATGCCGGATGTGGGGCGCAAGAACACAGGTAGTTCCGATAGTTATCGGTGCTCCGGGGATTGTTCCGTATAATTCGTGTAAGAACTTGGCTAAACTTCCAGGTCATTCAAAAGAATGGGAAGTGCATAACGTTATTTGAATTAGCCCACATTTTGTGCAAAGAATGGTAGAGGCACCGACAGTCCCTAGATCTGCTCAGCAGGAAGCTGGTTGTAACGTGAATTAGATTTTGAATTTACCTTTTCAAAACATCTTTAGTCGTGAATGAGATGAAGATAACAATAATAGTGATAATAACATTATCAACAATAATTTTACAAGCTTTTCTCAAAAGTGTAGAACAAATCACCGAAAAAAGAAAAAAAAACAGCCAAGAGAAAAAGGAAACAATTAAAGGAGTTTTCGAGTTACGGTGTGAGTCGTCATTTTAGTCGAAGGGGGGAGACAATACTAATGATGATGTCCCTCATTTTGATTATCTTCGTGTGATAACCCTCATTTTTGTAAAGTTTGAATGAAGTAAAACAGAGAAAACATTTTGTTAAACCTACATTTCCTGCCGATTTCTATTCACGTGTTAGTCTTGTGAAATGCGGTATTTGCATCCTAATACTTGGTTTTGAGTAAATTCTACGATATTTTGTTTGGATGTGTGAAATGAGAGTTATCGTTGTATAGTCTCGATACCTTCAAATAGTGATACATGGAAAAGAGATTTGACGCCTCAAGGTGGCAAGTTTATTACCTTGTTTTTCAGTAGAGAAACCTTTATGACTACCAGAAGAAGAATTTTTCATATATAATATAAAATACATGACTTATAAATATATATTAAATTTTGTTTTTTGCTTATATCTATTTTTAATAACGTTAATATTGATGTATTGAATGACTGGTTACAGTAGAAAATTAATAAATAATATATTTTTGAATATGTATCATGGACTCCAGGGGGTGTCACTGATTACTGTCATTTATTAGCCAGAAAAAGGAATGAATTCTTGTAGAGAGTGAAAGGGAAGCAATTGCATTTACTCCCCGCGACGTGACTCCCCGTTGCACAGCGCCCGCGCAGTCCCTGTGCCTGAGACCTGGCCAATGCGCTTCGAACGAACTCGTGCAGGCTCCGAGCGGGGCTATCGCTGGGAGGCACAGGGGGAGTCGGTAGCGACTTTTGTAGAAAGGGCACGAGAGTGACCTAACGAAGTCGAAGTCACGTGAACCAGGGTCATCACAGCGTTCCAGAATACTGAACCCTTCAACAACATAGCGCAACATGCCCTTGAGAGAAAATATCATTGGCACTATTGCTTCTTGAGCCAGCCTTTCGACATAATGAACTTTGCAATATATCTTTATAAACAGTTTCTCTGTTCATATTCATCATAAAACTGCTTCTATCGGCGTTATTAAATGTAAATAATTTGTATACTAATAACCCTTAACCGAATTAAAATACTGAAACGGGAGTTTTAATAGCTGTTTAGAATAAAAAGGCAAGTTTGAATCTTTAAAAAACAGTCATAGTTGCGGTAACACAGAAATTGTTACTGCAATGATCCTACTGAACTACCAATAGACGTTAGGTCTTTTTTGTTTGTTTTTTCCAATAAATTATAAAGACACCAGTTATTGCCTCGAAGCGCTACCGAGGACGCGATGACACCTCGGCCCTCGAAATTGAAGTTATGAGCGAAAATCGAAGGCACACATTGACAGTTTGACTTTTTTCAGTATACTCGTGTGCGGCGAGCGAATGAAATGAGTGCCAAAAATGGGGGTAATTATGAGGTGCTAAGTTTTAATAAACAATTTAATATCTCGAGGACGGAAGTTGATGGCACCGATCGGATTGCGGAATTTTGTAATTCGTTTAAAGGAGATGCAGAGGAGACAAAAATTGTAACATTTGCAAATTCATAAACAATTTCAAACTTTTGCAGATCCAAAGAGGGGAGTCTCCCGATGTCCTAGAGCCGAAAACAGCGAATTACCAATTATGCAATAATTTATACTTTTATAAACAAATTCGAAATATGAGCCTGAATGGCCAGAAAGGATCAGCAAATTGTACCTGAGATGAACATTTTAATATAACAGTTTGGTAGAGTTACAAATTGATTGCTTGGGTGTCGAAGTTTGCCTGGACGGTTGGGAAGAAAGAATTTCACCCACCAGTTAGTGCGGGAGGAAGTTAACCTGCAACACGAATGAACGGTCGTGTTTTGTTTGTCTGTGAAGGCAGAGACTGTGTTAAAAATCTAAAAAAGAACAGTTAATCCAGTAACGATTTTTTATGTACCGACAGGCTGTTTCTGCATGTGTCCTCCGATCCCATTTAAAGATAGATAGAAAAAAATAATTCCTTTTTACTGATGCCATTTCAAGATTCAAAAGGGAGTCCACAATAGCAGTTCGAAGAAGTAGCGCCGCGACTAAAACAAATTCGTAGCCGTCATACCAGATAGACATTTAAAATCAAGATTACAACGAAAAAATCGTTTCCTTACAAGTTAAATGATAATGCAAATTTGAGAGTTAGAATAAAAATGGGATTTATTTTAATTATTTTTTTACAGTAATTCCTTTTAAAAGTGATTTTTCATTGTTTATAAGCCTTTTTGCACTCATACTTTAGCTAGAATAATTGCTCTTTTGAATGCATATTTTTGTAAAAATAAATGCCATTTTGCCCGCCTGCTTGGGGTAAAAAAAGTAATATTGAAAGTGAATATTGAAAAAAGTGCCTAAACTTCCGTACTATACTTACATGTATTAACGAGGTCACTTCAGTGGTAGGTTTCCGATGTTAACCATTGCTATAATTTTGACGCACTTCTATCGATTTGCATAGTGTCTATTTCGGAGCTTTGCATTAAATATAGATGTATAAGCAAAGCATTATTTCGGTAGTTCTTATAGTATCTTGCCTGCAATGAGATCGTAACCTGGACATTTTTCGGAGTTTGTGTGTCTTTTAATATTTCTTCTATTTCCTGACAGTAAAAAAAAATACAGGTAGTGATAACGGAAGAGGTGAAATCAAAAAAATCCAATATTTCATTCTCAGTCGTACTTGTTTTTTACAGGTTTAAAAATGAAGTGTTTTTCAAATCATTCTACCTTTAACTTTCTTCCTACTGCTTACACAGTATAAAAAAGTATTGTAATGCTGTGGGAAAAACTGGCGAATTTTCGACACAAAGCTCTTATTGCCGGATCCTGATAATGAGAGTGGATAAACCTTATCCCTGTGTACAGTACATTACTTCCTTTAACACGTTGGATAGTCAGAGTCTTTCTTTGTGGATCCTT